TGTTTGACCACATGACAGCAACTCAAATGGTCACTTCCTGCTTGACCTTGAACCCAGAAGTCCTGAAGAAAGGCCATGTGGCCGATGACACGAACATGACTGGCTCAAACTCAGACGCAAAACCGAACCTAATGGAACCAAGTTTATGACTTGTTCAGTTCCGGAACTAGGCTACAGCGGCAAATGCTGAATGCTGCCTTTGTTCCATGCAACTTCTGAATCACTGAAGTTTGCCTGGATGATAGAAAATAAAAGATCTGGCATGCCAGATACCAATGTTAAACGAAAAATGTAAGGAATTAAAAAAATCAGAATTAATAAATAATTGAGTTGTTTTCATTTTCCAGAATCCCTATGATATAGCATTATGTAAATACCTACATATTTCATGATAATTTCAGACAGCAACAATACTATCACAAAGACAAGGAAATACTATACAGTTCAGAGTTGCCAGGCTCTGTGCTTTATAGAATGAAAAACACAGCCACAAAAAAAACAAGTTTCTTTCATCACTTTCGTTATACACAGTACAAAATACTGTTGAAAATACCTCTGGAAATTAATTTTTAAATTCCAAGAAATCATGAAATTATGGCCATACTCCAACTGACAGACCATTTGACATGTTTAGAATGAGCGAGATGAGAATTTTGGCATTGTTTATATTATCACTAGGCAATAGAACAAACCAGTTCTCAGGATGGGCAGTTTTTTAGATTACAGTTTACAACATAGGAAATTGTCGTGTTCCATCCATCCATCCATCCATCCATCCATCCAAATGGACAGGATCATAGGAGAGCTCCTGGAGCCTATACAAAGTAGGATAGGGTTAGGGTACACCCTGGATAAAATCCCAGCCTCTCTTATGGAAAGACTTATAAGATTATTACATTATGTAAATAGCTGCATATTTCATGAAAATTTCATACAGCAGCAATACTATTACAAGAAATACCATCACAAAAAAAGACAAATTTCTTTCATCACTTTCCCAGACAGATCATGAAATCACCGCCAGAATCCAACTGAGAGTGGGTTTTGTGAAAATTAGGACCTCCAATGTAGACCCGGCATTCTCCACAGCCAGGCTCCAGAACCACTGACCTCAAACTAATATATTTCAGAATTTTACACTGCAGTCACCAGTTAGCCAGATGTTTACAAATATTTACTGAACCCATTAAAGTCAAATATCACTTCCTGTAACACTAACAAAGGCTTAATGAATGCGTCATCACTAGACTCGGCACTGGACCTGTGGACCATGTCGTAAGCATTTATAGGACCACCACTGAGCTCAGACTTCAGGAGCCTTGAATCTGGATATAAATTAACAGCCCTGTAGGGGGAGGGGGGATATCTCCTTCACCTTCATCGTCTCTTCCTAAGAAACATTTGTATAAAACCGCAAGTTTTTTTTCCCCTCAGAAGCCCCTTGAGCCAAACCAAAGTCTAACCACAAACACAGTCACGGCATTTTCCGCTGTTCACCCTCTTGCTTCCTCAGCATACTTACTTCTGCTTTATTATGACTTTTGTTACAACCTCTTACCCCCCACCAACGCCTTTGTCTCTTTCCTCCAAACCAGGTTTCTTCATATTGAAGCACATTTTGAATATTGCAATGCCTGACAGCACATTAAAATTAATTTTCGTAAACTTTTCAAATGCATCCCCTTGATCACACGTCCCCTTTTTTTTACCGTGTGAATCTCTCAGTTGCCTTTCAGTCTATATCATGCATTACCATCGGCATGCATTGCCCCGCATGCTGGCCTTCTGGCCGGTGCTCCACGCCACTAACCTCTGGCTTGATTTCACGCAGCGCCGACCCTCCGTGAGCTCGGAGACCGAAAGCCAACGCTAGCGCCAGCACCAGCAGCGGCATCGGCGGCCGGGGGGACATTCTTCCTTAGCGACGAGTCCTCTTGTCTTCTCGCCCGGCTTTCAAACTTCTTTTATCTTTTTGTCAGAACATTTCAATACGGCCCCCTCGGATAAGAGAACAATCGGTCCCTCCCTGAAAGTTAAAAGACGTCACGCTCCAAGTATTTTAAGAATATGGAAACGTACGATAAATTAATCGCGGTTTTAGGGTATTTGCAATAATCTACCACTAGCCGCTAACGGCACTTTCCTTCTGAAGATCCAAAAAAGCTGCAGAATAACAGGGATCGTTGAATATTCTTAATTCAGGGAGTCTACGTTTGTTGCACTGGTCATCGTGTCCATACGGTCCTTCTTTCCTTGGGTCTTTTCCGTTATTTCTTTCCTGTGTCTTGCTATCTTGATTTTATTCTCGCCCCCCTCTCTCTCTCTGTTTTTCTGAGTTGCAGACGTGGTAAGCTTGACCGTCCCGTGTCTCCAACGTCCTTTAAGCCCTGCCCCATCCCAGATGTGCTACTCTCAAAGTTTTCTTCTGAAGTTCTCAAGATCGTAAGCCGGCGCTATAAAACAAGACCAAAGCGTTCAAATGAAACAGGAAATGTAGCTGATTATACAAAGTTCTTATTGCTCTACTCAGTTTGCAATGTATGGTACAACTCGAAAATTATCATTTTTTTTTAGAAACACGGCTCATTTTGCATGCTTTTTTCATTTACAGTGAACTTTAAACAAGCTAGCTACTTGATAGTATAAGTATTACTGTTTGGTTGTACTGAAATGCAAAATGGTCTAATTGCACTAGTTTAAGCTTTTTATACGCTTTTTACAGATGTTTTAATGTCTGTCTGTGTTCAATTTTTTTTACGTCGAAACACTGACACCTAGTGCCAGACAACCTTCAGGTCAGTTCTGGCGCCACCCGTATTGCCCCCAAATATCAAAATTATATTAACAAAATAAGGATTATTTTACTTTCTGAGTGGAACCACAAAAGGGACATGATGTGGCGTGTGCCCCCCCCCCTTAAAAATAACTGGCAGGTGCTACTGAAAATGACATGTAACGACCGAGTTGTTTTGATATATAAAGGTCTATAAATTAATCACAAATGTGTTTTTTTCTTTTTTAACTGTGGTCTGTGTTTTATAATCTACAACACTAGGAGGCGGTAGGAGCTCTGCAGGAGGATATTGAAGTACCTGGAGGAAACCTTCACAACACTGGAGAACAAGGCTTCAGGCCTGAGGTAACAGCTACCTGCCCAGCCTCTGAGCCCAGGAATAAGATGGACCTTAAAGTGATACGTGTGATCCAGCTGTTTAAATAAGATGAATTTTTGAGGGTGAAAAAGTTTATACAGCTGTGTTTGATTTAACTTGGAAATACCCTCTATGCGTGGGGGTCAAATCCATATCCAGTTATTCTGGGAACATTCATCCGTCAGTTTCCCTAATGCGGGAGTGTGGTGATGTTCTAGGAAGACGTTTATTTGGATAAACAGAAGAGCAGAAGCTTTCTGGGAAGCGCTGCGATACTGGGACACTTAAAAATTAGGTAGGGTTCCACGGAACATGTAGTGCCACATTGTTCAGCAAAGTGTCCAAACATGAACTCAAACTACAGCAGAGCAGAAGTAGCTTGATAGATAAGCATTTGGGCTTCCAATACAGAGTTTTCTGGTTTAAATTATAGCTGGACGGTGCTTTATTTGAATTGTTGTAGTAAAAAAAATCAGTAATGAGGCAACAGCCTTTCCTGGGATTAACTGTCAGGCTTATCCACTGTTTCTCATTGGAAGCTATTGTGTTAATTGATTGGTCCAATATATTAATATATGGCTCTCATATTCAAGCCAACTACTGCCCCATTCCGTGTGCATGTTCCTGCAGATACATCAGAAAAATGTCCTTTGCTATAATATATTTTATTGGTGGGTTGCATAGGACATTTTAAAATGAATTTAAACGCTAACACTGCATGCAAACAGACAACGAATAGAGTGCACTGCTGTAAATGTCAACAATTTAGCCATTTTGTACATTTACTGGTTTAATAGGAAATTGGAGGTATACAATTACGTCAGCTTCCTGTAGGGAAAAAAAAACGATTTCAAATACTTTCAAATAAAATAAATCTACAAATAAAAAGATCAAGTACATATGAAAGCCTTTGATCTGTCACGGATGGAAAAAGATTAAAGTTATTGTGGTCTAAAGTGAGTCTGGTATACTGTTTCCCACCGCTAACAATTAGGCGCATATCAGAAAGAAAGGTAAAGTGATTCAGGGCAGGCTTCTTGCAGATTTTCCGCCGAGTTTCTCCAGCCAGGAGACGTCTTCAGGGGCAGGGGACATGATGATTGGCCCGTCATCTTTTGCTGCGTCCTCACAAGAGAGGATGAAAGGAAAGAGCTTGCCTTCAAAGGCGTTGCGGCTGAAGGTGTAGATGTGGGACCTGGTGTCGAGGTTGTAAAACGAGATCTGGCCCTTCTCGTAGTCCAGCAGCACCCCCACGCTGTGCGGCTGGGTGTGCAGGTTCAGGGAGACGCGTGGGGTGGCCATCGCAAAAACTTGGTCCCGCCGATTTTTCATGATGCCCCAGTAGCCATTGCTGGGATTGAGTGAGATGCGGCCTTGCCTCTGGGCGGAGCCTGAAGCCATGCCCACGCCGTAGCAGCTCCGCTGGCCCATGCTAACCTCCCAGTAGTGCCGCCCGGAGGCGAACCCTTCCCTCCCCAGCACAGCCATGACTACGTCGAACCTCTGCGTGCTGTCGGGGATGTTTTGCCTAACACTTCCCACCACCACGACTCTGTCATTCGAGGACAGGATGAGCTTCGGATGTGCTGTGCTAGGGTCCAGCGAAATGTCATCTGGAAACAAATCAAACATGGAAAATTTTTCAATCTCAGCAGAAAAAATCTAGGCATTCCTTAGTTTTTTTTTAAATACGTTTCTTTCCTAACTGGTCTCGAGAACAGTGCTAACAGAAGTATGAAGTTTCTCTGATCAGAATCAGTACCTGACACAATCTTTAATGTACAGCTCTCAAATTGTCAGGCACTGTGCTGTAATAGTTTGTAGGCAAGGTGAACGGTCATTCTGAGGTATTTTCAAGCTTCTAGAAAGGTCCCAATTCATCTCTTGCGATGAAATGACCTTTAATGCCATAGCTTGTTTGTGTAATAATATATACATAAACACACATTTTGTTGCAGCCGTATATTAAGCATTATATATCACCATTGTGATAAGGAACAGAATATTGGTTTAATAAAAAGAATATTTGGGTGCAGGTAGAGACATAAATTTTTAGACAAACCTGTCTTGATTTTGAAATCATTCTCTTCATTTAGCCCCTTTTGCACGTCTATGGAAGAACGCACAGCCCGTGATAAGCATGATCATTTCATATTAGCTGTGCTCTGTTGCACTGGACGGACGGCTCTCACCATTGAATTTCTTCTGCAGCTTGTTGAAATCGGCAGTCTTTTCGCTGAGCTCATTCTGCAAATCTGATGCGCAAAGGATAAATAGACATGTAGCCCGATTAATGTCGTCAACTTGGGGTGAATGACATTTACCTGTAATGTATGTATGTTAATGTGTAAACTCACCCTCATATTTGCTCTTGAGTCTGGAATACTGTGTTTCCTTTTCAGTCAATTGTTTTCTCAGGTCTAATATGGAGGGAAAAAGGCAGATTTAATTTATTTTTTTAAATTTGCAGGCAATCCCTTCAGACCACACGCCGTCACTATGCAGTCCCTACCAAGGTAGTTGTCCTGCAGCCGCAGTTCCTCCACCTTCCTTGCTTCCAGGTTGTCTTTTAATTCTGCAGAAGTTGAGGGTAGCCGTTTAGTGGTGAAGCGCGGTGTTCGCGTGAACGGTAGGGCGGATCGGAGTCGCTCCTCTCACCGTTATATTCAGACTGCAGTCTAGAGCAGTTTTCATTCTTCTGTTTTAATTGTTTTCGCAGTTCTGAGAAAATACACAGGAATTACGGAACAAACTCTTTCTTCTGCTCACCTATATTCCAACCACTTGCACAAGGACAGGGACTCAAGAAGAGTTGGAATCAACCCCAGGCAACACAGAGCACAAGGCAGGTGTGGACAGAATTCCAGTCTTTCACAGAGTCCCCCCCCCACACACACACACACACACACACACTATTGCAAGTTACAGGTGCCAGTTAGCCTGCATGACACCATTGGGCAAATTGCTAGAAGGGGGAGGTAACAGTGCTACTGACTGAGCTTCAATGCCACCCCCCCTCACCGATCTGCAATTAATAAACTGGAGAAGCAAATGTCACCATCGTATTTTATCTGCAAGATGGAATATTCTTCATCCTTATCGTCCAGCTGTCTCTGGAGTTTGGAGTTGATCTCAGTTGCCCCGTTCAACTTCTTTAGAAGTTCTGGGAGAGTGAAAATAGCTACATTTAATTCCCTCCACCAACCACATTCAAAGGCACCTATTTGAGTGTTTTGAGGGGGCTGCATGTTACCCGCGTGTCTTGTTTTCAGCTGCTCGTAGGCTTCCTCTTTAGCACGGAACTGTGTCTGTAGGTCTGAAAGAAATGCAACGTAGTGCGACCCAGTTAAGATGCTGGACTTAGACTCACCAGTGACTGCTGGATATCGGTATAGATGGAAAAAAGAATATTTCATCACCGCTGTAGTTTTTCTGTAGCCTGCCGTATTTTTCTTCAACGTCTCTCAGTTTCTTTGTCATTCCTGTGGTTCAGAAGTCCACAGAGAATGTGTTAGTCTAAAAAAATATACATTTATCATGTCATATCAGGTGTATTGAAGTTTGGTGTAATTTAAGTTTATTTACAAACTTAAACCAATCTGTGCTCTTTGGAAAATACCTTCATCCATCCATCAGTCCATCACACACACACTTACAAACAGCAGGCTATATGTTGTAGTTAAATCCTAATGAAAAATGAAGTCTCTCACCGGAAATCAGGATAGAAGCCGTCTGATTGGAGGCCTTCACCTCAGACACCTTATCCTGCAGCTCAACAATTTTTGCAACTACAAAGAATAAAAAAACTGGGAGATTAGCTCGGTGAAACAGGACCCTTATTCCAGAGTGGTTTGTTATATAAAATTTTACTGGCAGGCTAATGCAATTGATGTTCTTCCCCTGGAGTAAAATATGAAGAAAAATGAAGCTTCATGAATCACTTGCTATATTTTCTGACCCCACTGGATGATGTCTGTTCAAAGAAAGGGCTGAAAAGCATGCCCCGGAGCAAGCTAGAAGCGCCATCTAGTGCAGTCAAGAAATACAGCAAATGGTTCACAAGGCCTCATTTGGCCATCACTAGTTCACACACTTTAATGCACTCACGCAGCTGGGAGTTCTCATCTTTTTTGGATTTCAGTTGTGCCAGAACCCCCTCAAGATCCTTGGTCTTCTGTTCTAGTTTCATCTGAATTTCTACAATAAAATAAAATAATGTTTATGAAGCACGTTGTTTGTTTCATGCTTCAAAACACCTATAGGTCTTTTATTTGTAATCTAAATGGTTTGAAACGCACAGCTAATTTTACTGAAAAAATGTGAGGGAAAAAAACAAGCTGTAAATGGACACCATCTTATGAGGTGTATCTGTTGTGCCGATGCGGGATACAGGATGCGGAAGCAGGAACCACAACAAAAACGAGATGAGTTTATTCCAAATCAAAAAGACAGGAAAACACAGGGATCACAGGAAAGCTGGAAACTGGGACTTGCAACTAGACTAACAGAGATAACAATGTCAATGTCAGGACTGGGCATCACAGGACTGGGACACACTTATAACAAGGACTAACAAGGGAGCACAATGAGAGGCAGCTGGAGTGTATCACAGAAGGGCAGTAACAAGAGGTAAGATGCTGGGGAAGGAAACAGAAGGATCGGCTGGGCTGGGCTGGGGATGACGGTACCCACCGATAACGTGGTCTGGGACAGTTACATTGGAGGCTTCCCTGCGTAGCTCTCTGATGATACTCTGCAGCGTAAAAATCTTCAGGACTGAAAGCACAGGGAGGGGGGGGCGCCAGCAGTCAGGGATTTGCACGCTGCCACTTATTTCTGGGGTTGTGTTGTGATGTCAGGTTAGTAAACCAGCTGTCATGCCAAGAGTGACAATATATAATCCTTCGCAATCATGAGTAAGTCATGTGACCGTTATCAGGGTGGAGACGCACACAAAGCCGGTGACTGCTCTCTAGAGTGATGTGCTACTCACTCACTCACTCGCACCAGGCAGCGATGTCACCAGAAGCTCATACATAGTCATGAATATCTTAAAGGCATATCTTAAAGGTAAAAAGCACACTGCTCCTAAACTTTTATGTCAGGCAAGACAATATTAATTATGAGAGCTATAGCTCCTGAAACAGGACCCAGGGCATAAGGTTAACATGAAACTAGCAGCCTTGCTGCAAACTCACCGGTTTTAGACTCATCAGTGGTGGTGTTTTCCAGCTGGTTAATCTTGCTCTCAAGTAAGTGCAGCAGGTCTGAAAAAAACAGAAAAGGTAATTTTACAAAATATAATTCAATGATTTAATTTCAATTTCATATTCAGTAATAATAATGTACAAGTTTAGTATCAATGGGCAAATTTTAGCTGATTTCAGTTGATATCTGTGATATCAGTCTTACTAAACTATGGATTTACATAATTAAATACCCATAAATGTTTGACAGCCTTTGATCTTTGGCAGACTGTATGGTAAATTTTATTTGATTACATTTAGTTCTCACAGCACTAGAAAAAACATTTTTAATTACTTAATGTATTCCTTTTCTTTTTTTCCGTTTTGTGTAGTTCATTTCAATTCAATTCAGTTTAATTCAATTTTATTTGTATAGCTAATTTTCACATTACATTCTGTGTTCCGTTTTGTATTTCACTTCACCCTGTACAAAAACTGTTCTTGATCTTCCTTTACATTTATAGCAATGGACAGATTATGGAAATATCACTCACCGGGTATTTGGGAGGCGTCTGTTGTGTTACTGACTCCTCGTTCGAGGTCCCATATGATGCCCTGTAGCTCCAGTATCTGCAGAACTACACAGCAAAAATAGGACACTTGATTTTTGTCGTCGTTTTTTTCTCCACACTCAAACACATTCATACAAAGGAAGTTTATTCCCCAGACAAGTGTCCATGAATCATTGCGAGATACACCCATGCCCAGTGTTTACCACCACTCAAACCATGCAATTGCATGGGGCCCCCCATACCACGGGGCCCCCTGTTGGCCACAAAGAGACACTACACTCAATATTAAATAAACACATTCCTCATTTAGGAGATCCTGAAGCGGCATGTTACTAACCTAACTATGTACAATCTTCTAATTCTACTTGCTTGCTATTTATTTAGTTTTTGAAATTTCCGAGGGAGGGGCACACGACCCCGAAGTGACTTTTTGAGTGGTACCCTAGAAACAACCAATCCCCGCCTTGCCCATGATGCCCAAACACTCATTCATGTAAAACCATTCTGTCTCCATGATCTGTTTCTTGTAGTCAATCTGGCCTTTTCCTTCCAGGCATTGACTGTTCCTGCTCCCATCACCTAACCGTACTGCAACAAATGCTTTGTCATTCAGACAGTTCCATGATGGAACTACTCCCAAGTATTCATATGCTCTTAAGTCAAATAAAATTCATCATCAAACAAACAATTACAATTTTTTTTGTTAATTATTGTAAAAAAAAAATATACAGTTGATTTTTTTTCTCCTGTTGTGTAACACTGGAACATTCAGGACAGCCATAAAGCTTGCATTTACAAACTCACCTAGTTTAGAGTTTAAATCCATATTGATATTCAGTTGTTCGGATGTCCTCCGTAGTTTTCGAGTCTTCTCTTGCAGTTGAAACTGTAAATCTGAGACAGGCACAAACTATTGCTTGAAAAAGATCTGTGAGATAAATTCTTATATAAATATTCTCCATTGTAAGTGAACGTAAATGGGTCAGAATATAACTGCACTGTTCATCCTGTGCGGTAATAAAACGAATAACCGTGCTGATGATTGTGGCACAATCTATATATTTACATTGTAGCTTGAATGGTTTTGAGATTCAAGATGGGATACAATGTTTCTTTAAAGCCAGCATGATATAGGAGGCGCCACACCTGCAATCTGGGACGATGAGCCCTGCTGCAGCTCCTTCACCTCCATTTGTAGAGTAAGTATCTGCAGAACTGAACAAACAACAATAATGCTGTGAAATCACAGTGGTGACTGTGTGGCAACAGTTTAGTAGCTATTGCTTATGAGAGGCTCTCTCAAGTGCCTTTAATTAACTAAGTTAAGAAACATGGATGGACTAAGAGATGTTATCTGTCGCTAGACTCCATTGTTGTACATAGTGCTCCTTTTTGCTGTTTCCAGTATTGCTTCTGTCAAGCGAAATCATTTATAGAAGAGTACTATGCAAACATCTTAGGCAGTGAACGAAAATAATGTTTATATGATTGTCATATTAGTGTAAAACTGATATTATTTCTGTTAAAATGTGTCAGCCTAGCCTCTCCTAAAGACACCCTAGTTATTGCAGTAACTGTCCAACTTATTGATGTTTTTGATCATTTTTGTTGACCACTAGCATGTTTGACTAATCAGTACGTCATTCAATTATTTGATCAGTTCAGTTAATTCAGTGAGATGGTGCCATTCCATGTATTTTAACAAATACATGGAATGGCAGGGTTGTCCCTGAGAAGTGGTCTGGGAACTGAAGCGGTGTTCCATCCAACAAGATATTTGTAACTTTTTTTTTTGAGAACAGGAGGAATCCATCCATTTTATTAGAGGTCAACTTTCTGGTGATCTGGCCTCCATTAAAAGCAGCCACTCACTTAGTTTACTGTTGTCGTTGTCCTTCTCGTTCAGGTTGGCAATCGAGTCCTCCAGTTTGTTCTGAAGCACTGCAAAAGTGTTAAAAAGAAGTCTGACAAATAATTTACTAGAACACAGCAAAATCTACAACTTATGCTTGTTTGAATAAAGCATGGGTTGCCTCTCAATAGTACAGTCACTTAAACAGAGACTTAAACTGCTCTACATGCCTAGTGTCAAAAAGCTCTCACACATAGATGTGCAGGTTTAAGTCCTTTCAGTACCAGAACATGTATAGAACCACGCAACAGGAAACAAGACAATTAAACCTTGACAACATGAATACACTATAACTGAGAATATCGTCAGCTTCATGCTGAAGAGGTGAACACCCGAGAAACGTTAACAGAGTGCTGTCATGCTGTAAGGGGCAAACAGTCTCACATCAACACTCACTAGTGATCTGAGAAGACTGCTGGTGTGAAGTGCTTTCCAGCTGAATTTCAAGCTCAGTTACCCTTGAAGCTGGAACAATGAAAACCATGCAAACAGACACCATGTGAGATAGTCAAAACAAGACATATGTGTCCAATGGAGCTGATTTAACAGTGGGTGACAAAATGACGGCTCATGAACCATTCGCTGTACCTTTTCACCCCACTAGATGGTGCTCTTGATTTGCTTTGCGGCATGCTCGGCGCACCTTTTTTCAACACAGAGCACCGTCTAGTGTGGTTCAAAAATATGGCAAATGGTTCATGAAGTGTCATTTCATCCATCACTAGAGCTGGAAGCCTCTCTCAGAAGGCATCTTACCCAGTTGAGCATTTTTAGAATAACTTTTGGCCAGTAGATCACCCTTCTCCTGCAGTTCCCTAAGAAGCCCTGTATGACACAAGCATGTTTTAAACAGGTCATATACGACATTAATAAGCACAATTTTTAAACCAAAAAATTTTGCCAAAAGGCAAAATATAACCTCACCATTGTACTTAGTCTGTAGCTGCAAGTTTCTCTCACTCATAACATTCAGTTGCTTCTGCAGTCCTGTGAAACAGACATTTTCCAAAGAGTTAATACACAGGCATCTTCTGAGAGATGGATTTGTGTGCATCTCATGTAGAAAGGCAATGCTCGTTACAAAAAGAGAACGGGACGAGGGCCTGAAACTGACATAAGCTGTGATGAAGAGCGGAAGGTGAAAAGTAGCAGCATTAAAAGAGCAACACAGAAAGGGCTGTGCAAAAGACTTAGGCAGTCAAAGAAAACGTTGAGATGTTTATCTGGATAGTAAGTGAATATTTGCTCAGAAAAAAAACACAAATTTAACATTAGAAAATATGCAAATAAACAGTAACACAATGAAAACTAACAAGAATTTCTTCTGTTCTCCAGAAAATTACTGATATCTTGTTGGATGGCTAGATGAACATCACTTCAGGTCCTAAACCTCTCCTCAGGGGCACCTCAGCCATTCCATGTATTTGTTAAATCTCACTGCCATCTCACATAATTAACTTAATGAGCTAAACAACGTGATGAAATACTGATTAGCCAAACATGGTATGCTAATGGTCAATACTAGGGTGACATGAGGAGAGGTTTTGACACACTGACACACTTCGAGAGACATTCTTTCACTCCCCCAGACTTTTGCACAGTACTGTATATAGAGGGAAGTAGAAGATCAGCATTTAATTCTGCTTAAACAGTAAACTTTAGAAGCTGATAGAAAATAGCTACTCACCAGCAATGTGAGCAGTGGCATTCGTATTTTGGGATTCTAATTGTAAGTCGGATATTGTTTTCTGCAATCCAACAATTTTCACAACTGCAAGGTCCAAAGATTGAAAACAGAGAAAGATGTCAGAGCCTTGAGCATTGAACCTTAGACAGTTCATGATTCTATCTCAGGTACTAGAAATACCTGGCTGACACTAGGTATCACTCTATAGCAAAAAGCATGACAGTCATCTCACCTCTCCAATGAACCTAGGCCATCGTACCTTCTCTGGCCCACAAATGGTTTAAACGGGACACCAGGCATTGACCCCAAATGCCCAGTGTAGACAGCGTATTCTCACCAGTAGAATAACTAGTCCCATTTCACACTTTTTTCTGTGCTGCTCTTTGAGAGGTTTAACCCACTTACGCATTTCAGAATTTCTGCCATCGCTGCGTCTCAGTTGCATCAGAGCCCCCTCAAGTTCCTTCTTCTTGTCTGTGAGCTTCTTCTCAAGTCCTGTGAGATGCGTCAGAAATATCAGGTGCCGCTGTGTCTTTACAAAGACAGCCAGCTTTGGAACACAGGATGCTGCATTCAAACAATATCGGCATGTACTGCGGGTCCTTTCTACTTTCATGAGGAATATGGTTCATCCAAGACAAGTGATCAGTAATACCCACCAGCATCCTCTCCAGGCTCTGACTGGTTTAAGGACTGTCTTTGCAGCTCTCTCACAATACTCTGCAGGAAGTATATCTTCAGAACTGAAACCAAAAACATTGTTAATCCATTTCGGTCTGGCCATAGGAGAAACCACTCCTAAAATGTACTGAATTAATATAGAAATATTACTCAATTCCATGCATGTCATAGCTCTGTTGTCTAAATTCTTAGATATTACTGCAGAAATAAACTGCGTTACATATTTTAAAGTGTGGCATGCAGGAGTCATGTGACAAAATACCTGAGAAATTTGTCTGACAAATATTTTCAGATTTCAGATACTTACAGAATTTAAAAAATGTTTCCTCCTAAACAACAGTGTGATCAAATACTGGAGTTCAAACGCTGTGTCATTTCTGTGTTGTAGTGATACTGAACCAATGAACAGAGACTTCACTATACTGTAGGTTTTCCTTACTGCTGCATATGAACCAATGAACAGAGACTTCACTATACTGTAGGTTTTCCTTACTGCTGCATATGAACCAATGAACAGAGACTTCACTATACTGTAGGTTTTCCTTACTGCTGCATATAACCTACCTCAGGAGCAAAAACGTGGACTGTCTGAGGATCCCAAGGACCGGGTGTGGAAACGCTAACTTAACTGACCCAGGACTGGAAAACATAGCTAGCTAGCCTAGTTTCCAGCAAGCATTCCATGAACTCACCCAAGTTCGTATCACCATCGCTGTCATCGTTCAGCTGATGCATTTTGTCTTCCAGCTGATTTAAAGTGTCTTGAAGGTACAGAAACTTACTGTAAGTTATCATTGTTTCTAAGAAATTCCTATTTAGATTATCAAAGTAAAAGCACAACAAGGAGACACAACATCTACATATTTTCACTGTAGATATACTGTAATAAAAACAACAAAACAAACGATGGGCTTGGAGAATCACTATTACTTGATATTGCTTGTTAATACATAATTGACTGAAATTCATTTCATAAAATATCTACAAATGTAGAGAGTATATAAAAAAATCATGACACACTAAATATTGAACAAAGAGTTTGATAAATAATCCTGAAATGTAAAACCTTTTTGTTATGACTCCAACTATGATTTCTTTATATTGTAAGTAAACACATGCAATATTATTTTATACAGTTTTATTGGTATTTCCTCCTGTTTTTGAATACACTGCTGTTCTCTGTAGTCACTGGAATATGAACATGTGGCGCAAGAACATGAAACTAATGGGGGAACACCTTAATTTGGATCTGAGAAAGAACTTGTTCTCACAGCGCGTAACTGGAATACGGAATAGTCTCCTTGAAGGGGTAGTGCAAGACCCTAGATTCCTTCAAATCTGAAATTGATAAAATCCCGCCAAGTTTAAATCATTAGTTGAATTCCCTCCAAGGAAGCCTGATGGGTCGAATGGCCTCCGCTCATTTGTTGTTGCCCTAATGTAACTGACACACGTCAATGTGACATGGAAGGTGAGTAAACTACCTTTGGACTGGCAAACAAGGCTGATGACCCAGTTTTTGAAACGGGAGATCAGAGGACAGACCTTCCAGGACACACTTGTGTGTTTGGATGCTGAGTGTGAAGCAGTGGAGGTGAGATTTATTACTTCTAAATCTGAGACTATGGTGCTGGTTTGCTGGCTGCTGGCTGCAACACTGATGCTCTTAGGCTCGTGAACAAGGCCCTTAACCCCAAATGCTCTAGGGGTGTTTTGCACCCCCCCCCACTTGCTCTTACCTGTTTATGTGTCTCCTGCTGAGTAAAATGGGGTAGGCAAAAAGGGAATTTCCCTAAACACAGTGCTTGACGCATGACAGGAGAACGTAGCTCTCACCTGATAGCGTTCTTGAAATCTCTTCATCGGGGGTTTTAGTCTCAAAGTCCCATACTTTGCTCTGCAGATCCACTATCTGCAAATCTGCACAGCAAACAGTTCATTTTTATTTTTTAAATTTTTTCTAGTTTTCCTGACACCTCTGATCCCAGCAGCAATTATTCACTGACGTTTTAGCTTTCGTTTTTGTCTACTGTAAAGGAATTAGGTCTCAGACTTAGGAGCCAGACCGCGTCACATTTCAACAAGCCCTTGAAAACAGGAAAACAGCTCACAAAGGGTGTGGTTTAACTCAAGTTCACTGCTCTTGGTCTCCAGCTGTTCAAATTTTGTTTTCAGTTGTTGTAGCAAATCTGTAAGACACAAAAATAGATAGTTCAAAAATGGCACTCTGGGATTAATCGTGTTATATTTGTTTGATATTTGGCATCATATAAAAAAATCAAGCAGAACAATTATAATGATCAGCACTAAACAATACATGCTTTACCTTGTAAAACTCAGTATTGCATTTCATATTTTGCCAAAATCTCATTTTAATATCTAAAATTAGGTTTTATCCTGTTAAATTTTAAGAACGTGTATTTCCCCCCTGAAAAAATAGCGTGTAATATTATCTGAAAGCATGTTCATCTTAAGCATATGCTTTAATGTAAGCAAACTGGCAGCAAAAGTATTGTGAAGAAGGTGCTGGTATCTTACCGGGGATCTCAGGTGATGTTTCGGACTGGATCTGGGCCAGTCGGGTCTTAAGTGCAAGAATCTGTAGAACTGAAAGAAAAAAAAGCAAATGAATCTCCAGAAAGCCGATGTCGCATGACAACCACCAAGAAAACCCAAAAACAAGAATATTTTCATTTACATTAAGCCCTGTTTTCATACATGTGGCGGTCAAGTCAGTGTTTGATTTTGTGGTCTTTGCACATTTATAGTACAATACAAAAAGTACTTACCCATCTAATTTTCTGCACATTTGTTTATTTTTGACATGAATTAAATTAGTGATGATGTTCACGATTACTGCTATTAAAATTACTGTTGTTATTGTTTTTTTATTATTCTTTTACCTTTGCGTTTTCTGTAAACGAAAGACTGAAATGAAATGAAAATGCTTGGCCACCCGTACGACTGGCCGTGTCACTTACTCAGTTTACTTGTGTCATCGGCGTCCTCATCCAGTTTGCTTATCATCTGCTCCTGTTCATTCTGAAGTACTGAGGGGTTCAGAGATATTGCTCAGGTGGGCTTTTTACACATCGTTTACACATAGTCTACACCAGGAGTAGGCAACCCCAATCCTGGAGTGCCGGGATCCAGCAGGTTTTCTATCCTACCTGAGATCAGGTTTGGTTCATCAGAAACCTGGTAAGATAGAAAACCTTCTAGATACCAGCACTCCAGGATCGGGGTTTCCTACCCCAAGTCTAGTCTTAGGCTTTGGTCAAAGAAAACACTCCCTGCCTCTGTTGCTTATACTTGTCAACTGGTTTGACTGAAAGGCTCTGTAATCATAACCCTATAACCAAATATATTCTTGGAGTTGCGAGTAGCCGGAACCGGGCCTTGTTTTTTAAATAGTGGTAGTGCAACCAGGACAGTGTTAAGCAGACTTGTGGTAGAACCTCACAGATTAGCTTCTCCCTGATAGTTTGTACCAAGGTTTCACCGCAGACATTCTAGTTATTGTAAATGAATTGGCCGAATGTTGAACGGGCAAATTCAGATGGAATGCAAGCCGACGTTGTCATGTGACACTCACAAGTGATCTGAACAGTAGTTTGGTTGATGACCCATTGCTGTAGAAACACCGCAAAGTTGTGCACTTCAATTATAGTTACACCTGGACGGGATAAACAAAAATGAGCTTCACATGAGGTAGTGCTACAGAACTCCTAGGGACACACCACTGACCCTTTTTATGAATGTTGGCCATCTTTGTGTCCAGTTTTTTTATGGCTTCCTGCAGTTGCTGCTGGAGAACTGAAAGACACGGAGAGATTAAATGGGGACTAATCACACTGCCTGTCAACTTGTTTTCAGAAATGCTTAAACACAACACTGCAACTAAAGAATATACAGATTAACTATATTACACTTAAAACAGTTTGTCCCTGGCAATCTAAATGGAGTTTGTAATTAAAAGAGGTGTTCGTGTACTGAACACATAAAAAACCATTCAGTGTCTGTTCGGACACCATTTGCTGCTCTTTAAATGAAAGTGTCCTTAAATTTAATTCACTAGTTTGGAAAGACAGCCATGAAACAGTGATGTTTGCTAGAACTCACCAGAAACCTGAAATGTGGCGTCTTGGTTCCTCTGCCTTAAAGCAGACTGAAGTTCTGCTATCCTTATTGCTGGACAGAATATGGGGAATAAAAATGTGTCTCAGTTGTAGAAGGCCTTGCATGTGTATCCAGTAATACCCTTACTAGATGGGGCACAAATCGTAGAATTATGCTATTACTTATGTATTAATTAACCATAAACATACAGACCTCATGTTTGTTTATCATTAATGAAATTTGACTTTTATCTCAAGCAATTACTATATCCGTTAATTCTATAAATCTTAGCAAACTACTGAAGGAACAAGTCATGAATAACACAAGTGAAATACTGATCTCATGTCTGTCCATTGTTAATGAATCATGACATATATTTTTTCTTAAGTAGCTACTGTATTTGTTCATGATTTTTGCTTCAGTGGTTTAACTGAGTTACTAAGTATCTGTGCCCCCTGAAATAAAGTGTTATTTGTGTATCCAGGGGGTTCGATTCTCCCAGAAGAGCTGTGCCGATATTCCCGGAAGGTTCCCGTTCTCACCTAGTAAGGAGTTCACTCGGCTTTGGTCGTGTACTTCATTTATCTTATCTTCCAGTTCCTCCCTTAATTCTGTAATATATTTAGATATCAGTAGATGTCGGAACTGGCCGTGGATGGTAACCAATAATATGAAGTGCACATTCACACGTTATAGAGAATCTGTCTTGCACAGCAAAGCATAACTTAATTACAACCTTAATTACAAACAATATTATCAAAGGATTCATTAAAGTGTGAAACATAAAAATAGCCAGATGTCATTATTTTATCACATTTGATATTATCTTAAAGTGCCAAAAAGGTAAACTTACCTTTGCAATGGTCCACATGTACATTCTAAATTAAGAGAAAAGTATTTGTAACAAAGCAGTAACTATACAAAATATATTGAAACAGAAAAAAAATCTTACTGATTTTTCCAAAATTAAAACATCAATCAACACATACAATTTTTGTGATAAAAGTTGTGGCTAAATTCAGATTAATTTGAAAGCAAACAAGCCTTGCAGGGAATACCCCCATTAAGAGATAACCTTTGCAAGCATGTTGTATGGGTGAAGATCTAAACCTGATCTGCCCTGATCAAAATCTGAGACAAACTGCATAAAAATTGAAGTAGTGAAGACAAAAACTCAGACATTTCATCTTGTCAGCATGATAATTCAAAAATATATTTCCCTGATCTTTTCAATACTTTTCAGGCACACTGTATGGGTGAAGAACTGGACCTGATCAATTTTTGAGACAAAAAGCACGAAAACTGAAGCAATTGTGCTTAGTGACAGGAAACATAAGGTTGAGTGAATTTGTCATTATTACTCTACTTACTCTATTTGAACTTTGATGGATCTTATTACCACTTCACAAAGACATTGGATAAATGGCCCGATCCTACACTGCAGGCTTCGCTCGTATATCTCACAAGGACCGCGATTTACATGTTTAACCATTCAGAACGTTACTTGTTCTCCGATACTGCTTGTTGTTTTGTGGGTAAGGTATAGTGGTATACTTTACGTGACTGAAAGAGCCAAGAGTTACAAATATTAATGCCATGTATGTACTGCAATAAAAGAACATTAGTTTTTAATTCTTTTTTTTTTTGTATTGTGCTGAAGGAACACGTCAGTGCATGTGACATGGCTGCAATATAATGTAGAACAGTAATCTATTTCTGTGTAGCCAAATCATTAAAATAAGGCAAATTCAAACAAAAACTAAATAAATATGTAAATAGTAACTAAACGATCACAAAGTGTAGTTTTTTTCTATTAAAAGGCATACAGGAGAATAAATTTGGAATGGGGGACATATTGTGAGACATGGGCTCAGAGTAGTACGCATATTTGTTTTTAAGAATTAGATTACCTTAAAGCCTAATTTCTGACATAGAATTGGTTGAAACTTTGTTTGAACAAGTGTCAGATATAGCAGAATAAGACCAAATTGGTTTGGGAGACATATTATACATTGTTAAAAAGATCTGAGCTAATATATTTGCTACCATAAACCCTATAGTATTCGTGCACTTCACTCAAGCTTTTGTCTTTGTAGTCATGTTTTCTTTAGGCGATAATATAAATAACTAAAATGTTACATTTAATAAAATTTAAACTTTATGTGAGACTTTGAGAAAACAAAAAAATGTTACGTGTTTCAACTAGAACTTGGAGCATTTGGGTAAAAACACATTTTTTTGGCTTTCACATTTCCACCCAGTACTTCAACAAACTGTAGAGGTAAGGGAGTGTGGGTGAAGTAAGGATTGGATTTGCAGAACTCGGGATCTTTTAATAATAGCTGATACGGCTTGCCCAAAGACACTTACCTCACTAAACACGGGTTCTGTACCTGAGTGTAAAACAACCTATAATGGTTGAAGAGAATGCTGTTAATTTGTTGTCATATCATTGTCCCAAAACCAATAAATTATGTTTGATGAGTTTCATTTATATGATATTTAATCATTGTTAAGGGGTTTTCAGACCGAACGCGGCACGTGCGACGCTCGTTTGCGCATCCATTCAAAAACACAAGTTTGCGCTCAATGCGCTGCGCGCCAGGTGCATCGCTAAAAGTTAACAGATTAGAGCAGCTTCCCTGCATGCGCGAGATGGAGTCAGAGTGGCGCCTGTTTGTTTTTCATGCGTTTATTCATGCATTATTGTTATTATTATTATACTTATTATTATTACAATTGAACATATGGTTATTTTCCTTTGTCTAAACTAAATATAAATGAAATTAAAAAGAACTGGAATAAAACTTTCTCTTACTGACGCCACTTAGGAGAAGTAAACTCAATGTAAAAGGACAGGGCTTGCAGTAGCAGCGACTCGGGCGGTGCCCCTCCCAAAAAAAATATTTAATTTGGCTTCATTCATCTCCCCAGTAAATAAACCTTAGTACTTAAATCATGAAGTCCCCCCCCCCCCTATCAAATTCTCTCCAACATCGGTTTTGATAAATTAAAATAGCTATAATGTGTATAGACAGGCACCACGTATTGAATACATCAAACTGTCATGACTTAGTATCGTAACCAAAGTTGACGGTGGGAAAGTCGCTCAGTTAATGCTGACATATAGGGAGCCATATGGAACCACAGGGAAATGCGGATAGGATAGGAGTGTTAAAATAAAATGTGACGGCAACGCGACACATAAAATGAGCAATACAGGATGTCAGTATGTCAAATGTATTTTTGTGTGTGTGTGTGTGGGTGGGGGGTAGCTAGTAGTACTATAGCTAGTTACTACTAGCTAGACTCTACTACTTCAAAGCTAAAAGTTACGTTCAGATATTTTCAGGATATTTTCCTAATCAGTATTCAATTTTTGAAGATAAGCGGAAGTAAACACCTCTCAAAAGTGAGCAGCCCTGTTTGGCTTTGTATGGGTTCCAGGTCTTTCTGTTACGGTGCTTACCGTAACATTGTAGCGTTTACGTTCTACAACCACATCCATGGTGTTTTCCCAGCTTGTTTCTGGATTTAACTGTGTAACTGGAGACATCAAATTTAAAGAAAGTGGACAGAATTAGTGGTGTCAATTCATTTTTGTTTGTTTGTTCTTTACCGCTAAAGGCTGAAACAACATCACCAACCACAAATACACCAGATGTATTGAAACAAAATGGACATAGATGATTTAGTGGGTATGACGGAGATAACTATTTGTGCAGTTCAAAATACTTATTCTGCTGGGACATCTGATTCACACACAATTATAGCATTTAAATGACTATATATATGAGCAGATTAAATTTAAGGATTAAGCATGGAATAAGTTATAAGGAACTCCAGTCACACCTATAGTATGCAAATTCTGGTTCGTCTCTGCAAGTTTACATTGTCATGCAGATATTAAGTAATTTGCTGATACAGAGGAAATGCACAACACATACAACACATGCTCCATACACCCTAAAAAGGCCACGAAGTGTGTCACTGATCTACACTTAAACTCAAGAATGTCACTTACTGATTCCGCATAAAGCAATCTGTAGTAAGGAGGACAAGAGGAGCAGCAAAGCAGACGATGTTTCCATTCCACGCATTGTGTCTGCAGACCATCAGGTGAAAATCCACACACCCCCACCATTATATACAGTATGTAGCAGTAAGTTAACTAGCCCAGTTAATATTCTACCAATCAGGACTTATCATCGTTATTAATGATAAACTGTGGTCAGCTGGCAACCAGGATGAACTGGATGATTTACGATAAATACTGAAGTGTCTCGGAAAACAAATGCCTGAAATGCAGGCACATAGCTAGGCAGTGAAGTTTTTGCTCCCCGACCTGAACAGCGAAATCGACCGAGGATAAGAGGGGGCATATTTCATACAGAGGTGCCAACCTTATTAGCTAATTTTGATATGTTTCGAATCGGTGAATGACAGGGGAGGGGCTCTCGAGAAGCCATCAGTTCTCATTTGGGGCCAATGTCTCTGTGCCTAAAACAGGGTGTGATGAAATCAGGCACAAAAGTAAGAGATGCCAGGAAATGAGAAACACAAATAAAAAGCCTCCATGTGTCTCTAAGTACAGGAAGAGTGGAGGCTGCTCAGAGGTTGTTGATCTTGTATTTGCTGTGTAATTACACCACAGGGGAAATCAAACACGAGAGCAACACAATATATTAATAACATTTCATCATTTCATTCGCTTTCAATTTTTTCCAATTGAAGCCAAAATGTATTTACAGTGCACGCATCAAACAACAAAGGTTGACGAAAGTGCAGTACAGAATCAAATGAAAACAAACTATTTTTTTAACGAATGAATGAAGTAACAATAAATAATGAAAAACCAGGGTGAAGTGATGGATTTTATAACTGGATTTAATTAAAATGTAGGCCTAATGTGTGCCTACGTTTGTGGGTTAAAGACGAACCCTAATACCCTAAAATCAACACCATAGCGACCCTTAGCCAGAAATAAATTTCAGGAGGGGAGGGTCAGTCTCCGTAGATTTTGCCGAATGGTGGTCCCCCCTCTCTCATTTTATTGACCCAGGGGTGGGACCAAATTCTGCATAATTTTACTACGTGACTATGTGCCAAGTCATTATAGTAAACAATTTTTTTGGAGGGGGGTAAAATTTATTATTTTACTATGTGGCAATGTGCCTGTGTTAGGCAATCAACAGAGGTTGGCATGAGTGTTATATGGTCACACATGTAGGGCTGTTAATTCCAAGGGGCCCAGAGTGGGTTAGGGGACAAATATGCTTTCATGGGGCCCAGAATCTCTAGGGGCAGTCCTGCTAGTGTATGCCCATCTGGATTCGAGCTGCAGCATTCTGGAAAATTTAATGCAACAGAAACAATGCTGCTGTGACAGTTTCCCCGTATCATCGATAGCATGGCAGAGGGCATGAATTAAACCTTAAACATATGTTTTGTCAAGGTCCTCCGCTACCGCCTTCCGTTTAAGCTGTATTTGAGACTTGATGCGGATGTTAAGGAATTTAATTTGAAATACAAATAATAAATAAAAGAGGTGTTTCTGAGTTTGCATATTAAATACAGGGAACTCGATAACGAAAAAAATTCTTACATTCAGTACAATGCAGTCTGTACAACAATATTCAGCTGACGATGCTGAATATGTATGTGCGCGCATTGGTAAATGTACAATTCATTTCTGTATTATATTCCTCCCCCTATATGGAATCAGATTTGTGCCAAAATTTTCAAACAAAACTTTCCTAATATCAAACAAAATTCATTCAATATACATTCTCGCCTGTGAGTTTTTCAGTTTCGCTGCTGGCTTTTCAGTCACTCCGCCCCGAACTCTATCACTGAGATGGACAGCAGCAACAGCTGCCAGTTAGGATCACGTATGAGATTTGTGATTTGTGCACAAGATCAACTCCACGATTAATCAATTGTAAGTATTGATCAAATATGTTCATTATGCTGTCCTAGACATTTGTTGTGTTACGATAGAATTCGTTAGCTACGCGTTGTTATCATTTACCTAATTAACTTTAGCTACCTGGGTACGTTACTCGCTAAGTAACGTTTGCCAAACTTACATTCTTCCTCTCCACAATTGTCATTTCAGATATTCACAACTCCGTTCTTCATGTCTGATCATAACTGCATGTCTTCCGTAATGGTTTGATATGAGCATGCAGCAGTTTTGGGGTTTTTTTTTGGGCTAAGCATCATGCTAATATTCACTCCATACTTGGATCAGTATGAGTTGGTATATAAAATTCTGGTGGGTGGAAAAAGTATTTGGAAACACTAGTATAGAATTTAATATGACGCTGTTGTCTAAGGTAGTTTGTCAGACCGTAGAATTTCTTCGTGGAGTTATACATTGCTTTCCGTCTTTTCTCTCTACAGCAATCAAACAGTGGTGGACCCAAGCAGACTTCTGCTACAATGCAGTCTCCGGTAAGCCAGTCTATGGTTCTGTTGTGACAAATAATAACGATGTTGTTAATACATAACACCTAAGTAACAGTTCTGAGAGCTCCTGAAGTCTTTTTTCTTACTCTGTTCATTTGAACAATTCTAAAAGTAATGACAATTGAGATTTTTTTAAAGGGCACTAGGAGCATTTTCATTCAAAGTACAATCTTAGATACAATTAGCATTTTCTGTTCATGTTGTATTGACATTAATATTTACTTACCTTGCAGTGCTTATTGCTGCAGGAGCAAGTACGGGATGAAATCTTGCAAAGGATTCAGAGAAGATTTAATCTAATTATGAGAAATGAAACGTTGGACTTAGACTACCTCCTAGATGTTGCTCAGCAAGAGCTTTGCTTGGCAACAATGGCTTCACAACACCTCAGCGTCCCGCTAGAACTTATTAGAAGTCTATAGGAATTAATCAACATCTTACTGTTCAGTCTGCTGAAGGAGCATCAGTTAATGTGTCAGAAATTGTAACTACCACTGTGGGGAACCTGGGACGGCCACGCCTTGAAATGAACAGAGATGATCTTGAAAGCATCCTTTCCACTGCACTTCCTTTAGAACATTTAGCCAATTTGTATGGGGTTTCTAGACGAACACTTAATAGGCGGATGAAAGAAAATGGCCTCTCTGTCCGGGGATGCTACTCCAAAATATCTGATAATGAACTTGATCAAATTGTGAGGTCCATAAAATCCAGAATGCCACAGGCTGGGTATAGACTGGTTAAAGGTGAGCTGTTGGCCAGAGGTTACCGTGTGCAGTGGCACAGGGTGAAGGCTACTATGCACAGGGTGGATGGAGCTGGAATTTTGGCCAGGATGATACAGCTTGGTTTTGTAGCTCGCAGAAGCTACTGTGTTCCTGCCCCTCTGTCCCTGGTTCATGTAGATACCAACCATAAATTAATCATGTGAGTTTCTTTCCTGTGCTCCCTCTG